TAATTCCTTTAATAGCCAAGCAAGAGCTAGAAATTTAGGCCCTGCCTTATATGCTACTTGGCTGTGATTGATAACTGCTGGGATGATTGACTGATGCATGGCAAGGCAATCCTAGATAGATTTGTGGGTTTGGGTGGATTTTTTCCTCCTTCATAGGACCTGTGAAACTGGGTTCATTGGTTCATAGTTCAACCCATCTGCTTCTAATTCTGGAGTCACAATCCAACACAAAATGGCACAGTTAAACCCCCTTGTCTCACCAGCGAGATGTGTTTCAGGATGATTCTGTGGAAGTTCAGCTATAATGCCTAATCCTTAAAACTCATTTAGTGTATCACAACTTACTGGTGGTTATGTATGCTGATGTGTAAATTCCTTTCATTCTGTGTTTCCATTGTACGGGGCCTAAATATAGCACCCAGCTCCCTTCCTGTCCCAGGACTTGCACAGGAGGGTAAAGTTATCCTCATTTTACAGGCAAGCAAATGGGTAAAACAACTAGCCACAGACATGGCTGTGGACTTGTAAGACTCTGCAGAGAACTTGCACTTCCTAGTTCCTAATCTAGTACCTACCTACTGAGCCAGGCTGGCTCTCTGCAGGCTTTGGACTCCAGGATTTCCATAGGGCTAAGCAGGCGTGGAACAGCAAGGCTGGTTTTCCAAGACTGACTCGAATTCCCTGCATGTTTTCTTTAAACTGCAGCTGGTCTCTTCTGACTGGGCAGAAGCAAATGCACAGGGTTGGCACAGGCAAAGTCAAGAAGTCTGAAGATCTTTAAAGATCCTTCACATTAATAGATCAGCTGAAGAAATGCTGCAATCTCTTGAAATTTATTAAAAACATAAAGGTATTCATCTGAGAAAGCAAATTTGGGGTGCTAAATGACTGTCCAGGAAACAGGAACAGTCAGCCTGAATGTGAGAAGGACTCTAAGATCAAAGAGAAAGCCCATTTAATTCACTGAGGCTCATCCTCCTAATGTACCTCCCCGTCCCTTGAGCTCCACAAAGGCATCTAATTGCTTCTTGAATGAGACCTGTCTGCCTCACCAGACTCTTCAGCCTGTATTTAACACCTCCAGCCTGGTGAGGTACACTGACTTAAGACTCGTCTGTGTCATTTTAGTCCTACATCGTACTACACAAGGCAACAATTTCACTTCTACAGTAGGTAGAGAGTTGTTCTTTTGTTCTGGTGTAAATATTTTTATATCACTGAGTTGCTAAGGCTGGAATTTTGTTTCTATCAGTTGCTGGGGACAAATGCATATAATCAAAGGGTACTACTACCTGTCATTTCTTCATTACGATAAAGACTTAGTGGCTTTCTCACTGTTCTGTTAGGTGTGAGGTATGCTTCCAAAGCTTCTTACTTCCAAGGCTCTGATCCAAAGTGGGGTCTTCAGAGCCTACACACTGAAGACTATGATCCCAAAAGTGGATTGGCTGCCTAATCTCATTAGATGCCTCAGTTCTGATCTGAAAGTTCTCTCAATCATTGCAATCATGCACTGTGCACAGGCCGAGGCCAGCTAAAGGCACAGCCCCAGCCGTGTCAGAGCACTGGTGTTCAGTTTAACCAGCACATGTTCAAAGAGAACAATGGAAAACCCTTCTAAAAACTATGGTGGCTGAATCTGTTCTCCTTGACTCATTTGTTAAAGCACTTGTCAGAGGTAGGAAACAGAGGTTCAGATATCCTCACTGCAATAAATTCTGCTCTGCTTACTACTTTTTAAAACTGGTGTCCCTGCTCCCTAACTGCTGTTACTGTAATCCAGAATTTGTCTAAGCACAGTCAGAATTCTTTTCACTTGCTCTCTTCTTGAACATTTTTGTCCTGCATAAGTGGTTCAGTTTCAAAAAAGTGGTGGAGACACCCTACCAGGAGGTAACAGACACATCTTTTCCTGCCAAGACCTGCCCTTAAGGCTCTAAGGGAAAACACGCACTACTGGAGAGCAGTCTTTAACCACCAAATCAACATGCAGGAGAGAGCCCTTTCCTCACTTGCCCCTTGTCATGTTTTATAGCAGGAACACAGACTATGTAACAGTGAGAGACAAGCCACACAACCAGATTATCCCAAACCAGTTTTTTCAAACTGTATCAGGAGGGTTGTGGCTAATACAATGATCACTAAAAGATACAGGCATTTAAGTTCCCATTTAAGAGGATCACTCTTAGAATATAGAAATAGAGAAAATAGAAATATTGATGAAAGAACTGTGTATCAGAGGACTCTACAGCACTGTGCAGAATGCAAACTCACTGCAGCGGTGAAGTTCAAAGAGCCCTCTTGTGAAGGGCTTAAAATACCAGATGTTGTCATCTCCATTTCTGCATAGAACTGTGTTGAGAGAAGGTACTAAGCTAAATAAATTAGCTAGAAATTAAACCACAGCATCAATCTTCCCTGCAAATTACCTGGTTTGAAAGGGAGCAGAATATAGCTGGACTTGCACCAGTTCACGTACAAGGCCCATGGGTAGGGCTATAGTTGAGGTAGCCCATGAATAGTGAGGATTCAAACGTTATGAAGTGTTACTCAATGACACAGGCAGTTATTAGCTTCTTAAAAGAGCTCTGTCTGAAAGGATAAAAAATGGAACAGCTCTAGCCTATTGCCAGAAGTGCACTGTTTTCACAAGGTTGAACATGCCTTCACCATCATTAGCAGCAGACTGAACCTGCCTGGGATTTATAGCTCATAAATGTGAGATAAGGTCAGCTCAGTTCTTTAACTTCAGAATTTTTGCAAGAGACCTTACATGGAGAGGAACTCTAATATCCATCTTGTTTGTGATGACTTCTACTAACAACCCCGTGTTGTCAGACAGGGATTAATCTATGAACTGTATAAAGTCACACTTCCGTTAGGGCTCCAGCAATTGGGACTGCTGGATTTCTTTAAGTTATTTTTTTTTCCTTTACAAAAAAATTCCGAAAAAGCTAGGAGTCAGAGATGCTTTTTGAAGTCTTTTATTGCAAAAGGTATGGACATCTGCTGGCAGAATATTTGATCACATTCTCTACTTGACTGTCATCCAGAGGACACTGCATGCATTCAGGCTGAAAGCATCGGACAGTTTCCACTAGGCACCTGAGAAATTTCACAGGGAAAGAAAAGTCTTTCAAGTTGAAAGAGACACGTTTCAAACTGATCAACTACTCTGGTGCCCTTTGCTAACCAGAGTTATCTGGGAAATAAAAATTAAATCAGCTATAGTCATAGCCAACTGTAAACGTTTTCCTGCAATGCAACAGAAATGATCTAAGTAATTGATCCTGAAGTGTTCTTTCCAGTTTTAAGCAGGAAGCGTCCTCCCCAGAGCAGGCAGTGAGTTACACCTGCCCTGGCACCCACTGCTCAGCGCTGCGTTACGCAGAGGGGTGTACGGCGCTTCCTCTCCCCTGCCTCACAGCAAAGAATATGGGGCAGCTCTTACTTGGGCTCCAAGAGACTTCCCCACTCCCCAGAACATCTTTCTTTTCTTCCTGGTCCCAAGCCTAGTTTCATCTCAAACCACTTCTCTACTCCCTCCAGACAAGAGCCAACTCCCTTTTCCTCCCCATCCCCTTGCCTTCCCTCCACACGCAGAACTCCGGGTGCATCTGAGTGTCACTGATTCAGTGCCTTCCCACAGGTCTGATAAAGGTTAATCATCTCTGGCAGGCAGCAGTCCTGCACCACATGGAACAAGCAATCCACTGCCAATCTAACAGGACACGTATTTTGCAACTGCAGCTGCTTAGTGTCAGGAACTCACTGCAACAAAAAAGAGAGTTTAGAGGATGGCACCTTCACGAGAAAATGCATTTGAACAAAGAATAGATTAGACTATATTAATTAATAGCTGCACTTAGCTGCAGGTTATAATGGACTTTAAACTACTTGAACCAGACAAATGCAAAGACCTATGAAGGCATTAAGTGTGCAAGTTGCAGATAACTAAATAACTCAGGATGGTACTACAGGCACTTTAACTTCTACTATTAGGTTTAATATCGCTAGTTGCTCTAATCATTCCAAGAATAAGAACAGCTTTTATAGGTTCCTTATTCCTTCTTAATAAGTCAGCTGTAGATGATAAGGAAGATTTTTGCTTTCAGAAGGCCCCAGCAGACAGAACAATTGACAGTTAACTTCCTTTCATGCAGTATGGTTTTAAGTTCCTCAGCAAAGCTGCAGATTGAAATTCTCCATCAAGATAGTAGTTCTTCGGCAATGTGCATAGAGGCCTCAATATGCAAATCAACATTAAGATACAGGGCCTGAGCAGAGATGGGTGCATAGTCATTTGTGTTAAGACAGAGTAGCAATTATGGCCCCCTGAGGCCCCCTGAGTTATTTTAATCACAAAAGCTAGAATGAACTTGTTTGCAACAAAGGCACCCTCAGTCCTTTCAGCTGGAAAGATATAGGTTGCTCTATTTAAACCAGACAATTTGGAATGAACAGTTATTCACTCCCAGAGACATTACCCTTGCTCTAGCAGTGAGTATTTTAGTCACTAACAATTCAACACTCCAGTGTATGTTCTAAAGAAGAGCTATCTAAAACTTTCAATGCTAAAGCACAATAACTTGTCACCACTCTACTTTCAGCTGTATTTCAGTAAAGGATATATATTTTTAATCCATCTGATACTGTTCTGAAAGCTATCTAGCCATTTGCATGTCAATCACTGCTGGATATGCTTTTACCAGAATAAAAGGCCTTTTGGCCTAATCTAAAACCAGCACTGGCAGAGTCCACAGTGTTCCTTGATAGCTGTTTTACATCATACCTATGTCTTCAGTCCTAATATATTTTTAGCAGACACTTAAGTGGAAGCAGCTCAGATGACTGTCTCACACTGACAGCATGCTGGTGATCAAAGTGTCCTTCCCTGTCACACCAGGAAGAATACAACGTCTTCTCTATCTTGCATTATACAAACGACAGAGATGAAGTACATGAAAAGTGAAAGTAGTAAGTGCAGAGATACAACACCTTTAGGAGGCATCCTGAGATGGAGCAGGAGGATCCTTATTCTCAGGCTCTGGAGGAGGAGCTGGCACATTTTCCTCTTTCTTTTGTGCAGCCAAAAATTCATGAATCGCCCTCTCTATCTGGGGCCTGAAGATGTGGTTTAGTTTTGGATCCACCACCTGAGAAATAATTCTGTCCACTCCAGCTTCCAGCATTCCTGACCTTGAACAAAGACAAAGGAGTCATTCAGATCCTCTGAAAAACTTCTCCCCAATCTCCTCCAGTAACTCTCCAGAGCCCTCCTGTCAACTGCAATTAGCATTTACATGGTGAGAACTGCAGCCCACTCAGTAGATCCTTAACAGGGAGTTGTTTCAATCACCTATTTCCCCCATCCCCCTCACTTCTCCCTACAGAATTAACTACTGACATCTGGTCTCCCAGGTACTTAAATGACATGTTAGACAAGAGCCACTTTAATAGGGCTTATGTGGAAATGAGGCCAACAAGAAGGCAAACAAACACATTTTGGCACAAACAAGGGAAGCAAGCTATTCTGAGGAGGACAGGTGAAAGCACAGCCTTTTCTTCGGCTGACTGGAGGGAGAAGCCGCCTGCCCCCTAATAGCATTACTGCCACTCACTCCTTGTAACTGTCAGTCTAGACAGACGGGTATTAATTATAAAAACAAGCACACGGCAAAGTTTCTGGAACTGAACACTAGTAATTGAAGAGACTTATTACTTCAGGGGCTGTGTCAGACTCTTGGATTGTGGGGCACAGGCTGTCTAGGAGGCTTAAGTCATGTCTGCAAGGGAGCAGGGGACAGGAAATGGACACGTTGCCTGCTGCTCAGAGAAGGAGCCACAAGACTAATAAGGCCACGAATGCTGGCAAGCAAGTGGGTGCAGGGTCATGGCACGTCAGGTCACCTCCAGGTACCAGCACACGTATCTGTGCATGCAGCAAAGCATGTACACATCTGGACACCCTCAGCACTGGGTCCTGCAGCTACAGGAGTGATGGGGACTCTGTCTGTTCTTTATACTAATAGCCTACTTAAAGGAAGCATTTTACATTCTTCTTGTTACAGGCTCTAAAACGAGAAAATGAAATATTGATAAAAATGTTTCAGTAATGACAAAAAATTATACAACATTTTTCAATTGTCTCCTTCATTCTAGTGGTAAAGTAACAAGAAATGGAAGGAAGTATTAAACGACATATCTCAAGTAAACCTCTTCTCTAATTACAGATTAAACAAACAAATGTTACATACTAATGATTTACAGGTTCTATCAAATGCTCTGAAATACAGTTTATTCTGTGTGCAAGGTTTTTCCAATAGCTTTCCGCATAAGCATAAATGTCATTATCAAGTTCCCTGCTGCCCCTCTCCCCACAACTTTAAAGATTTTACCCATGGATTCTAATCAAGCCAAGGCTTGTGCTTCAGACTGCAGTGAGTTATCAGCAAGAGATGCTAAACCTAAATTACTATGCATAGTTTAAGCTGGCTTTCCTGTTGTGCTGGAAATGTAATATCTTAAGTATCTGTACCAAAGTTACCCTCCGCTGCATGAAATCAGGCTAGCCCGGTGTGATTACTGCCTGCTAGTGGTCAGAGTCTGCTTGGCATCTTCAGGATTTTTTCTTGATGTAGGCTCTTTTTTCTGAAGAGAAAAGCCAAGGTCATTTGGCTCAGCATATCAGGTACAGTTTTGCCAGCAGCCACAGCGTTGGCTGTTGGCAGCAATAACTTGGCTAGATAGCAAGTCTGAGTATGTCTCTGCTGCTCAACTCACCAAAAAACAAATTTCAGGTAAAGCAAGAACATAAAATTTTGAGAGTTAAGGCTGCATCAGCTGTTGGGAGAGCACAACAAAGTGCTGTGAAAAGCTTAATTCTGAAAATTCTTATTTAACTTATGTGATGTAATAAGACAGTTATATATTACTTAGCAAATAACATTACCATTATTTTAGAGCATGCTGCTTACTTACTGAATCACACTCTGCCTTAGCCCATTCCGTAACTGGTTTTTGTTCATTGCTGGATTCCATTCCTGCAAGATACAAAGTTGTCTACCTTCTGCCTCAAATTTTGATAAGCTGGCTGGAAAAAAAAAAAAGAAGCAATAATAATAAAACAAATCTGCTTAAGCAGCTAACAGATCTGCAAACAATCCCCTGCCAGAGTCCTTCACAGTACATCTTTTGCCATGTACACTACTGTTGTCTACATTCTCCCTTTGGTCACTTTCTGAACAAAGCTGAGCTTGTTTTACCCAAGAACACAAATGGTAATTGCAAGAGCAGTTGGTCAGTGTGCCATTATAATAATTTAAATAGCTGGATAGATTATTTCTTAACTTGTTGTCTGCTTGTCGTATCACTTAGTGAAATATAAACTGCCTGTGCAGACAGGAGTTGTTCAAGCAGAGTTCTTCTTGTCTGGAAATCCTCCATCACAGAATTCCTAAAAAACAGGCCATGTGGTGTTGTCACTAACAAAGAACTTAATTATTTGCTTCTGCGACATGATCAGTGGAAATTTAATTCCAGTAAATAGGAACTGAACCATCAAACTCATATAAATACATAAGACCACTCAGATCCTGGTACCGTACAAGGAATGAACAAGAGAGTGGCAACATTTATATTTCAGAATTTGATACGCATACAGGATGATGAATGAAAGGATTGGTAACAGAGGTGCAGTGTCTGTCCTGGGCAGCATGTATCTGTCCTGACAAAGCTGCTCTGACCCATGGCTGCTCTGTGCAGATGACCTGGCAGCTCCAGGAGTGGTTTAGTGGTAGCTGCTGGGGTGGCCTAGAATGATGACTGCAGGTCCAAAACCAGGACTCTTGCTGAAAGGAATGAGTTTGGGAAAGCAAGACACCAGTGTTTAATTTTGACAGGGTAATTGTGAGCAACTTGATATCAGTATTGCCAACAAATGCTCAGAAGTTCATGTTGTGACTGAGGAAGAAATTAGTTTCAAACAGTCTGACAGCTTCTACTCAAGAAAAAAAGGTTAAATGTTTGTTTGGGAAATGTGGCAATTACACTCAGGAGGAGCGATACAGTTATGGGAGACCATCTTCCTTTTAAGTCCTGCAGCAGAAGAGGACAATCTGAGGCCGTTCTCTGCCCTAGGCCTCTGGTGTGTCTCTTCAAGCCCGGGCCAGCTCTAGAGCAGCCCGTCTTGACAGATGCGGGCCGCAGCGGCGGCACGGACCCCCCCACACCGAGAGA